TAAGGCCTTCTCTTCAATTCATCAGAGAAATAAACCTGTCGAAGTTGACTAATGATAGATATGAAAAAAACCTTATCAAACAAATAAATCCTAAAGTTCTGCCGGTTTATTTCATGGTGCTTATAAATCATTGCCTTAATCACCTTGGCATACACTTCGATATAGCCCGTCCTTTGACGAAGCTTTTGAACATGAAAATGTTATTCAACAGTTCAATTTAGTTTAAATAAATTAAATTGATATACACTGCTTAACTAGTAAAGTATGGCCAGTGATAAAGATCCTTTAACCTCATATGAGAAATAATAATCTAAAAATTCAAATAATATTAGAATCCACATAACATGCTTATTTAATTTTGCTTTTATGTTAAGTTAAAGATGTTATTAAGACGTTGCTAATAGTTCGCATTATAAACAGAGAATTGTATGTTTAAAAGATTTGGAGGAAGAATGAGCACATTTAAAAATAAAAAGCCACGGATAAAAAGGAAAACAAGAAAAAATCATTCGATTTTTTATTAGCACCTGTCTAGCAGCAATATGATTTGGAAAAAAATTTGATAGAAAATATAATAAGTTCATTTCCTAGAAAAGTGAAAAGGAAACTATTTAAGATATATACAATTTGAAATAAAAACGAGATTATAAAAAAGTGGCTGATATAAATGGAAGAAAGTGAAGGATCACCTGTAATTGCACTGACCAGGAGGGCTACGATAAACCCAATAATCCCACATATATGAGAGTAGTATAAGTAGGAGATTCGGAATGCTTTAAGATAAGGGTTCAAATCGGGAGCAGCTGGGGTGACTGTGGTGCTGATGGTGGTAATAGTTTCGACGCAAGAGCCGTTCACATATGACGGAGTCACGGTCTTATTATTTGGAGAGCAATCATCCAAAGAGAAGGACAAGTCTGATGGCACATTTATGGCAGGGATAACGTTTGGCATAAGACCAAAGAGAAGACCAACAACCAATGAGACTATAAGGCCTACGGAACCACCCTATAAAAGAAGGTTCAAATAATTAAATAAAGTAATATAAAAAACAATAAACTTTGAAAAATAAGTTGAGAGAAATATAAATGGATGAATAAGAAAAAGAAGCTAGGGCATAAATAAGAATGAGGCCAACGAACAAAAGATAATTAAAAAATTGCCTATTATCTTGATCGATGCTGAACTAACCTTAGAATTAATGAAGGGAAAGAACATGCCAAGCGTAAAAATGCAGAGTATAGGACCACCGACTGCGCCGAAAATGCTCAGAGCCAGAGTAAGTATATTGGAGGAAACATTAGCAAATAGGAAGCCGAGAGCAATATTGAGAAGGCCGAGGAACGCAGCTGTGAGATGAAGTTGAAAAATGAATTTGTAAAAAGATGCAATTCAACAATTACTTTGTTAAAATGAGATGTATTCACCATATTTCGTTTAAGGTGATGAAGGACGGGCAGTAGAATTATTCCATAATGATATGAGTAGAGCTGACGTTTCCATTGAATTTCACATTGTCTTGGTTTCCCAAAAGTTGTTCTCATCCAGGGTGGACTGCAGTTTCGACCTCGCATTGGCCTTATCAATTCCCCCAGCGGGAGTCGAACCATGACAATGTAGTAGAGTTTTGAGACTATCAATAAATCAGTACTCAAACACGAAAAATAAGTAATGTAATCGATTGTTATAGCAAATATACGTTTGCTTCATCGACAATCCCACCAAAGAATATGATATGGTAAAATGCCTGGCCCTACTTAAAATTCACATCTGCCCTGTGACTCAAGGGCACTCGTGGCAATGTGGTCGAGTGGTTAACGTGTTAAGCTCCCATTCTGCACTGCCACGGTTCGACTCCCGCTGGGAGTGTTGATAAGACTAGTGCGAGGTCGAAACTGCAGTCCATCGTGGATGAAAACAACTTTAAGGTAAGCAAGG